TATATATATATATGTACATGTATATGTAATACTAATAGTCATAATCACGTGTAAAATGCATTAAAAATTAATTAATTATTTAATATTTTAGATACAGAAAATGAGTTATTTAATCAAGATTAAATTAGCAAGATATATATATATCTAAAATATTAACTAATTAACTAATTAATTAATTTTTAATGCACTTTACAGTTATGGCTATTTGTATTACATATACGCATATGGCAAAACATAACTAGTCATTCATTATTTCCAGATGCGTCATTTTATTTTGGCTTGCAGTTGGAGGTTATATTCATTTTATCGAGAAACGGAATGATTGTCATTATAATTACGCGTTAGAATCTCCATAATGACGAATAAATTGAATGGAAATGACCAAGCGCAAATATGCACACATATACGTAGATATCTATTGTGTATGTAGATATCTTTACTCTTCCCTATTGATTTCAAAAAACGCTAACAAGTTATACCAGAAAGAAAATTATGCAGAATAGAGTATCCATTACTCGGGTGACATCACCCGTTTACCTCATCGTCCTTTCTGCTGAAACTTGCTAAAATGTTGGTAGAGTCAAGTGATAATAAAATATAATAATTAAGCGGAATCAAAATAATATCTCTACGATAAAAAGGCGCAATTTTGATAATACACCAATTAAATGACATATTGAACTTCTGATATGTCGGTGATTATGTAATATTATATCTATTAAATAACAAGGTTTTATGTTGATATGCATGTTATATAATATGTAAAATTGAACAAATATTTGATAACACAAGCTTATTTTCTTTTTATAAAATTTAAAAACTGTGCTCCAAAACAAAATTTGTTTTTATCCGCTTTTATATTAAATATTAGAGATACATAAGATAACAACAATAGCTTTACAAAACAGTCGTAATATTTTTAAATTAATGAGATATTTATTCAATTTTTTAAATTAAATACAAATCTATCGGTATATATACATATATATATATACATCTCGTGATAGTTTTTATACTTCATAAATCATTTGTGAATAAATTTGAAGTTACGACAAAACCAGAATTAAAATGAACGCTTTTGTATTTGCACAGAGAAAAGTTGTTTTCAAATTGCAAATCATAGTTAATAATCGTTTCAAGCAACTTTTCATCGTAATTAGCAAATAATAATATATTGCAGCATGATGTAAAAAAATACTTGCATGCGCAACAGGGTCACTCTGTTTTTTCTTCCTCTTCAAAGATCTCAGCTGCTTTCGTCACTGCAGGTTTGTCGATTTCCCGCTCGCGTGCGTTATTTATGCAGAAGCAAAAATACTTGTATACACTTCACTTGCGTACCATGACCTCAAACGGCAACTTTATCTTTGATATAACAAACGGCAGCCACTTCCCTTTAACGTTTCTGTTCTGGTGGAGCGGAGATGTTCGGACGCGGACGCGTGAAAAGTTACGCGCCGCTTTAAGAAATCTCGCAGTCGTCCCTCGATCGTCTCGTAGTCCGGAGCGTGAGGCCAGGACATCTGTCCTCCCAAATTATCGTTCACATTAAGATAATATTGAATAATTCATTATTCGCGTGAAATGAATAAGAGAGTGACGTTGGAGAATGTTGCGTTTACTACAGTCGAGTTTTCTGTTGTAATATACAACAAATATTGAGGATATCTTAAAAAAGGATAAAACTACGAGAAGATTAAAAAAAAGTATCTTATTGATGATCATAAAATTGGAGTATTGACACCCGAAAAAGGGGAAAAATAAGAAAAAAGCATTTCGTTCAATATTAATAGTTAACGCTAGCGAATATAACAACCGCCTCCGGACTTCTCTATCCGTGACAGTGAAAGTGCTGAGGAAAGAAGGAAAAAAGACCGGCTATCTCTTTAACGATACTCTTATTTACGAAAGAACGGGCAAGAACGTGATCGTGGCGAGTCAGTACTCCGTCGAGTTTGAAAACGAAGAAACATGTGTAAAACTATATCGTATTATCATTGAGTGCAGGGTTAGAAGAAGCGTCAAAAGATCATTAAATTCGTCACTGAAGATAAAGCCGTATAACATCAAAGAAGTAAGAAATATCTACCGAAAGGTTATGTAAACATATAGGCATTTGTAAAGATTTAATACAAGAAAGTGTTACTTTCTTACAAATTATCTTTTTAATAAGTATTTCTGTCTGCCAACGGTAATCAGGAAAATTCATATATCTCTCTCTCTCTCTTCCCCCCCTTTCTCTCCCTCTCTCTCTGAACTTTATGTAAGTTATAAAATGTTCAAAATCTGTGGCAGAATTTATAAGATTAACATTATCTTTATATATATCCCTTACAATAAATAGAATTTTTTACATAAAAACATCAATGTCAACAATACTTTTTATGATTATTAATAACTATAATTTATTTAAGAGAAATAATTAACAATTAATAATTTTATTAAGATTTGAAATTTGATGATTCCATTATTGTATTGTTTATGAAATGGTCTATTTGCTAAAATTAATTTTAAAATAATAAATTTCTCTGTTAATAGAATTATTTTTTCTTAATGGCTTTATTTTAGAATTAAAATAGTTAGTCCCAAGCAGAATAATAAGTCATGATGACGTCAAAATGATGTTAAAGTGTATTGAGAGAGATCAAAAGGTTTTTCGTTGACTTTTTCATTTTAACACTATTTTAATGTTGCGATAATATTTTGTTTTGCCTGGAATATACTTACAATATTATTAGTAACTTTTTAATCACCTTTTTACAAATTGTTATGTTATCAGGTTTCTTATATCTTTTTAGTAATGTATAAAAACATTGATATTAAAAAAATTGAATGAAAATATGAAATATATTTTTTGCGAATGCTTGTAGAAGATATCCAAGCAGAACAATAAATCATTATATCGTCAAAATGACATTAGAATGAATCGGAAATGATTGAAAAATAACTTTTAATAATCATTTTGGAGTCATTTTGACATCATTTTGATATCATAATAACTTGTTGCCTGGGTAAATTCAATAAAACATAAAAGCTTATTTTCTATTTTAATACAATTTGATTACCTCTATTTTCTTTGTCAAATTTTATTATGCAATTTATGCAGTGAAAGTTTATAAGGTTAGAAAGTGCAATAACTTAACTAATTTATAAAATCAATCGCACATACTTGGAGTACATACATATAAAACACGTTCAACGTTTGACATTTATTAATTCTCGATTATCTCTTGTTTTAAATCCGTAACGACGCATATGTCTTATATGTGAAGTACATTAACTTTTTAATTAATATACGTTTCATAACATTTTATCATAAGATTTTTCTTGCAAGAAAAAATATTAAAAAATATATATGTTTAAAAACACTATACCAGGTTATGTCAAAATATGTACGTTAATAAATATTAATAAACATATTTTAAGGAAAAAATAAAAAAATTTCTTAAATAAAACGTTGTTCTTCCTGATATTTTTTTTTAATAACTGATTTACTTTGTTTACAGATTTATAATGAAGCTTGTACCGATCCGAGGCTTGATCCAATTATTGCACCGTTTCATTATACCGTTCTTGCTTTTGAAAGGATGTGCCAGTATTGAGAAATTAAAGGGTATATATTCCTGGAAAGCTTTAGAATTTGCTTTCCCAAATGAGTATGCAAGAGAAAATGCTATACAAGAGGGCCGTTTTATTCCTGGAACACCAGTACCGATCGATGTGGATTTCTACCACAAAGGTTTTAAACAATTTTTATATTATTCTGAATAGTAATTGTTCCAAATCATTCACAATACTATTAAACACACCTTTTACTCGATTTTATACTCCATCATTAATTTAATTTTTGTTATTCCTTGATAAAATTTGAAAACTAAATAATTATAAGCTATTATATAATTGTAAGAGATTTTAAAGCTCTTGTTACTCGATAATCGTTATTCTCTCATTTGATGAAATCGAGTCAATTATTAATTGGAGAATTATATTTAAATAATCATAGCTTAAAATGAAGATTTAATCGCTATCACATAATTGATCGATTATGATCTAATAATTTGTGCTAAAATATATTTAACGTTGCTTCATAGTTTACGCGTTTTAAGCAACAAAACTTCTTTCAACGAATGTTTTATATAATTTTTGCTTTATTTTAATTATCACATGTAAGAATTATAATTTTCATATTGTTAAACATTATAATTTGTTATTGAATCGCCTTGACAAGTAATTAATCCGTCAGAAAGTGAAAAGAATTATATTTACATAAATACAAATTCTATGTAATTTGTAAAATTGTTGTGCAATTTTTTAATATTATTATTCTAAAAAAATGTAGCCTTATGAATAATTTGACAATTTAGCGAGTTTAATCGTCTTCCTTAATAGTTAATAATTAGTTTAATGAATATATAGCTAAACATGGATCCATAGTTTTCATCACGATACCAAGGTTTCAAAACGGGGTTCCGGTCACCCTCGGTTACGTGACGAATGATGTTTCTCCTGAGGGAAATCCAATAATTGCACCTTATCCAAGCTGGGAATGGAACAGATTGGGACATTGTGATGCAATTACCAGTGTGTTTAGAGTGCAGGTAATATGAAAACTTTACTTGTAAATTTGATCAATAATTAACCTGTCGTTGATGCAACTTAAAAACATATCATATCGTATAATCAATAACTTTACATTAATTGACCATGCGACAGTTTTTAACAAGATTGAAATTATCAATATAGTAATAACTTAATACTATTTATTTAAAAATGAACTAACGGGCTGTCGATATTCAAAAACAACACTAGTATAATATACGGACAATGAGAGCATAACACAGCGCAGTAATCGTTGCGCAATCAACATAACCCATAAATTATTCACATAATATATTAAAAAACAGCAATACCAATAAATACAGACACATTCATTTTACGTTTCGGTTTACTTCAAACTACGAGTATCTTCAGCATTCTTCTAATATAAAAATCTCTCGACTTACAAAACTTAATATTAGAGCTTGATTGTGTAAACTTAAAATTACAATTATATATGCCCTTCACATGTTGTGGAATTATGTCGTTGTGTAAGCAAAATTTTAAAAATCTTATCTTAATCGTATCCTTAACAATACTCCTGCGATGTTTGATCCAACATTTCATTAAATTGCACGGAAATTCTCCGAAAGTACATAAAATGAAATTTAAAAATAAATAAAAAATTAGACGCATACTTTCAGTCAGCGTAATTCAATAGAAACGTATTAAAAATGACTAAACTAACGGGCTCTCGATATTCAAAAACAACATTAAATGAATTTTGTTTGATTTTCGCGATATGGATAGTTGAGTACAACTGTAATCTGAAAAAATTAGTAATTTATGAAATTACGTCAATCTTTACTTTATTTATGATCACTGACGCAACCGGATGTAAAAAATCTTAAAGTTAGAAATATTTTTCCTTTTCTTTCCGCCATATTATCGGAAATCGCACTTCGCTCATTTAGAAATAAACATACATCGCGTGATGTTATGGAATTAACGCCTTCATTATTATTCGAGAAACTCAAATAACAAATCGAACGTGTGGCGCACACGCGGCAATTCTTATAAAGGATGTAATATATAAATTATCGTAATTTACGTGATATCGTAATTGCTGACCACAATAATGCAGGAAGCATGCTTTCGGATATCTTCTTTACGATGAGATTACAGTGCCCACCAGTGCGACAAATCTACCTTATCATTACGTTATTACGTATTCATTGCGCACGATCTAGAACAAAATGCTCTTTACTGATATTCCTGGTCATTTAAGGCTAAAACATATAAGTTTAAATAACACAGACGCTCATTACATAATTATATCACAGCTGGTTCTATTTAACAAAAAAATATCATTGATATGAAATAAAATATTTGTTATATTTAATATTTCGTAAATAAAAAATATGAAATATAAATCTCTTCTATTAGAATAATATAATAATATATTTTTCAAGAAACACACACACACACACACACAATTTCGAAAAAATTTGAATATAAATATAGAGATAATCTTGTTAACAAATTTTATCGCTATCATATAATTGTTCGATTATGATCTAATAATCATAAAAACAAATCTTATGTTTAGGAAGTATTTTTATTTAAATATTACAATAATTCATATAAAAATTATTTTGATATGAAATATCCTGCATGCGTCGCGCATGTAGAAATGCATAATATACGTTTATTTAAAAAGCTTTCTACGAAAAAGAACGCTGTAAACACAATGTGCATATAAATTATCTTTTATATTATCATCATGTTTCGCGTTTGTTTAATTTACGACAATGTACGTTTTTATGCTAATCATGAACATGTCTTTAAGAATTTATAACAGAGAATCATAAAACGTGTTATGTTTTCTAAGGTAAAAATAAACTAGAGAACTGTTTGTTGAAATTTACATTGAGAGCACTTAAGGAAATTTAAAAAGTAATATGTTGACTTATAATTATTAGATTAAAAACATGTGATAAATTAATAATTACTAATTTATGTTAAAAAAAAAGTTAATTATACAAATTAATTCAAGAATTAGACAATTGAAAGAATTTAATTAAATTAAAATGCAAGATACATATCTGAATAATTAAATAACTTATTAAGGTAGTTGTACCAATTAGTAGACATGAACCAATTATTGGACAAAGTGATAAAACACTTGAAATATTAAGTTTTTAATGATATTATACAATATTTTAAATAAATTCATTATTAAATTAATTATTAAATTTTTATAAACAACAAATTTATTTATAGTATATATACATATCATTAAAAATTTAACATTTAAAATTTTGTACCACTTTGTCCAACTAAACTTTGAATTAGATCACGTTTACTAATTGTTCATTAATTGATATATTTTACAATAATTCATATAAAAATTATTTTGATATGAAATATCCTGCATGCGTCGCGCATGTAGAAATGCATAATATACGTTTATTTAAAAAGCTTTCTACGAAAAAGAACGCTGTAAACACAATGTGCATATAAATTATCTTTTATATTATCATCATGTTTCGCGAATTATTGATATATTTACCTTATTTATTATGAAAAAGAATTAATTTTTTTTTTTATATTAAAAATATCGTAATAATTACACCTGTTTAACTTTAAAATTTAATAATTATTATATTATTCTGATTTTAAATAATATACTAAAGTTCTAATTATTATTTTGCAGCGTGGAAATTTCTCTCTGATAAAATAATTTTTTTACGAATCAATAATTGTGCATTTTTATTAAAAAATATAATTAAAAAATATATTGACTACAGACAAAGATATGTGTGTGTGATCATAGGTGGACTCGTGCGACAGGCTGTGGGTCATCGACACGGGTAAACTCGAAGAGCGACAGATCTGTCGTCCTCAATTATTGTCGTTTTCGCTGCGAACAAATAAGGTCCTGAGTCAATACAAGTTTCCAAAAGAACAATTCATGGATAATTCCCTGTTTGTGACTCTCGCAGTCGACATTCGCAATAGTGGCGACAAATGTCAAAACACGTTCGTCTACATCGCCGATGTGACTGCATACGGATTGCTCGTCTACGATCATCGCAACGCCCGCTCCTGGAGAATCACCAATAATTTGTTTTATCCCTATCCAGCTCATGGAACGTTCCATATCAAGGGAGATACGTTCGATCTCATGGATGGCATTTTGGGACTTGCCCTGAGTCCCATGAAGCAAGATGGCGACAGGATTTTATACTTCCACTCTTTAGCTAGCAAAGTCGAAAGTTGGGTACCCACTTCTACTATCAGGTAAGAAAGGATGAATAAACATTTATTTCGTTGCAAAGGAGCTATAACAAATTATGCGTTACTGTGATTTCTATTTTAAATACGTGAAATATCTGAGATACATTTTATGTATGTATTATATTATATGAGATTCGTTTTAGTAAATATAATATATTGTATATATTATTTATATTTTGCAAAAAAAAGCATAAAATCTAACGATTATGTTTTAATAAGATGCTTTGTTTTTAAATAAAATTTTTAATTATATAATTTTTTTTATAAATTTAGCTTTATTTAAAATATAGATGTTTACAATTAATTAATAATTAATAAAGAACAATAAAGATAATAAGTAACGAGAATAATAAATGTTTCTATATAAATTCTTTTTTGTTATATAATATATTAATTCCTGTCCTTTTCGTCAGAGTACTCTGATAAATGTCATCTTATTATCGGACATTCATTATATATTATCTAGGAATTATAGCCTCTTTCAAGAGCACTCCGACGCTGCAGCAAGGTCGTTCCGTCCATTCGCTATGGAAAGGTCATCACAGTCGGCCGCTCAGGCTATGGATCAAAATGGAATTCTCTTCTTCGGTCTTCTGCCAGATCTCGCATTAGGATGTTGGAACAGTATCACTCATCCCGAATACGGTGGTACCAATAACGAAGTCATCATTGTTAATCCCGATACGCTGCAATTTCCATCTGGAATGAAGGTACGATGACGTACAGCTTATTCCAACAGAATTCTTTAATTAAATATATTTTATTTTATGACGTATATTTTTATAGTTATTAAATATAACCTTTTAATAAGTTTTATTAAAATAATAATAATAATAAAATAAAATACGATAAAAGTGCAAAGATAAAAGTAATAATATTAAAAATTTTGTAATAAAGGATAAAATATACCTATTACATTACAATTACATATTCGTGCTTTTAGAGATAATACAAATTATATACTCGATTATTCATAATTCTACTGCAACTTTAGTATGCATTTAGTTGTATTGAATTTTACTCTTGCTTAAAGTATTGAAAAATCTTACTTTAAATACGAAGCGCCACTACGATCTAAATGTTAAGATGTTGAACTATTATACACTACCCCCAAAAAGTTTCCGGACATGAATCTTAAAATTGTATAATATTCAGGTCACGGTGGTATTGTTTTTCAAAAATATTGAACTTATTAAAAAAAGAACTTTTTATCAAACTGCGCACTGTTAAAATGTACATAATTTTAGGAAATATAACGTGATATTTGTTACGATACAAAACTGTAAAGACAAAATTTTTTTGAAAAGCGGTCAAAAGTATACTAAAGTATAAGTTTCAAACTTTAAAATACTTTTTTATTTTTTGTTTGCGATGATTTTTTACCGAGTTTTTTACGGTGACCTGAATATTATACAATTTTAAGTTCCATGTCCGGAAACTTTTCGGGAGTAGTGTATATTAATTTCAGAAATTATAATTGCGTGCTGATATGATTGTCGGACTTTCAACTCAATCAATCTGAAATATTAATAATTCCTCTAAATTTCCCAAATTTAATCTTAAAAAACTGTAATAAACAATTATTGCGAAAAATATTTTTTTAAGATTAAATTTAGGAAATTTGGGGGGATTATTAATATTTCAGATTGATTGCGTTGAAAGTCCGACAATTATAATTTCTGAATTATAGCACGCAATTATAATTTCTGAATTAACCCTTGAACACCACACTATTTTCGCCACCTGATTTCACCACACATGGGTTACAGTAACCCTGAAAGTCTTCTTTTGCTTTTATCTCGGGATCTAATGCATCAATTTTAACTTCTTTTTTTTTTAATTGATACAACAGACAATAAGGAAAAAGAATATATAGATAAGAATATCATAAAACTTCCGAAAACCAAGATATTTTGAAAAAAAGGAAGAAAGAAATTTCAAAATTAAAAAAAAAATCGTTGTTTTTTAAATAAATTAGTTATTTTCCAAAAAAATGATACAAGGTTTCAATTTACAGAAATCGAAACATATTAAGTTGTATTTTAAGAAAAAAAAAATACATTATTACGAATTATCCTAAAAAATATATTTATTCGACGAGGTTGAATTTGGGTGATTTTCCAATAATACGATAAAGTTAGTGCAAAAGTCTTTATTATATGACATCTAAATATACAAATGAAATTATTCATTAATTTGACAGGCGAAACAAATTTTTGCGACATGTTCCCTACACATTGGCTGGTGGGACTGCAAGCATATGTAATAAGTTTTCCTATCGAAAGCCCCTGGACAGAATGAACATCTTCTTTGTTTTTCTATTTTATTTACTGTGTTGTTTATTGTGTTTCATGAATTCTTCGATTTGAATTCGCATTTGAATTTGATCTTGTTCGTATATTTACTTACAATTTGATTTCGAAATAAAAAACGTAATAACTACACAGGGTCAACGTAACCTACACATAGAGTTGCCAACCATCCGGTTTTGACCCAGACTGTCAGGTTTTCAGAAGTCTTGTCCGGTGTACAGTTGACAAGTCAAACCGGACGCCATATGTCCGGTTTGTAAGTACACCCAAATAATAAAATCAAATTTAGAGCGCCATAAGAAGTTACGTAACAGGCCACCCAATTTTCGTTCAAAAAGTGCACTTAACCCTTACCATACTAATATGGGTAACTAGTGACCGAGCGATTCCTGCTCGTGCAAGTTTCTTTGAGTCTTTTGGTAATTATAAATTATACTACATTTTATTATTTTCCAAAATAAAGAGTTAATATTTATTCTAGAAAGTTGAAAGTATGTTGGTGAATTTTTAGAGATTTTTTGAATTATTTTGAAGAGGTGAAAAAACAAAGAAATTTGAAGTGATCCTTGATGGTATGGATGAGGCACCAAATTATAGATGGTACGATAAGGGTTAAGTGCATCTAGGTATCATGTAGAACGGCTGTAAAAGACCAAACATCGGTAATAATTACTCGATTGTTGTTTTCTAATAAAAATATTATAAAGTTGATT